TGGCAGCACACTGGGCCCCAGCTGAGAGGATTCCATCCCATTTCTGAGAATTTAGATTCTAACAGAAAACAAAGCAGAAGACCTTTCATATTTTTATTCAAGTACATACAACACAGTTTTTCTTTCTGCTTCTTAGATGAGCACATTAGCATCCTTGAATTCTTAATACCGTGTTGTTGAGGACCCTTTAAATTCTGGAGTCTTCTCTGGGCATTTTTAAGGTGGCTGCCATTCAGGATGGTTTGATTTCTTGGGGGCTCTCTGAGTGAGACCACTGGAAATTCTTGGGAACCGTTTTTCTCTGGCAGGGGTCCCTCACCAGAGACTGTCACACACAAGCTCACGGCAGGGCGTGGGGGGGGGTCTTTCCAGAACACCCGGGCCTGTGCCCACCCCTGGACCTGCTCAGCTGGCATCACCAGCCGTGGGGCTCATCCAGCACGGGGATTTTAAAAGCTGCCCAAGCCAAGGAGGAGACAGGTGCTGGCAGATGATAACCACCATTTGATTGCAACTTCAGTCGTATGTAGGGTGTGTGTGTTTAAGAGAGAGAGAGAGAGATTGGGGAGCTGACTGTCTGACTTCAGGACCCTCTGAAGCTAAGATGGACCTAAATACCTAAACTGGGAACCTCAGAGTGTCAGGAAAATACATCCTGAAACGTAGATGAGGAGAAGTAAAAGATAACTAATTTGGAGCATCACAAAGCCAGTCAGGGTCAGTGGAGAAAAAAATAGAATCTGTTCTGAGTCCTTAAAGCAGATACATGGGGGGGGGGGCAGCGAAGAAGGAAAGAAAGAAAGGAAGGCAGAAGAGGTGAAAACAAAGTTCATGATAGGAAGCCATCGGACCATAATTTGTACTTACAAACTTGTAAAGGTGTTTTTTTATTCCAAACATGATCCACTTCATTGCTTCCCCTTTTTAAGGTCCTGGCATAAACAAATGCTCACTCTGAAGAGGTAATTTCAGAAAATGGCCCTTGATGAGCCTAGAATCTGTTTCATTCAAGGAGGGATCTGACAGTCAGGAACCTGCAGGCGGGTTGGACCTAGACAGAACGCCAAAAATGTGTGCCTGGTGATGCAGCCGGGCATTTTCAGAAACTTTATCTCCATTTTCCTGAGCTCAGACTTCGAGGCAACACTGCCTCTCCGAACACATCACAGTGGAGACATTTAGAGGCATTTACACTTGCGTTTTCTTTTCCTCTTCTCCAAAATCACTGCCTTTGCTTTTTTATTCCTGGACCCTGCTGAAGGTCAAGGGGAAAAAAAAAAAAAACCTCTCGTGACATCTCTGAAATGAGTAAGTAAAATAAAATGTCCTGTGATCCGCCTCTGCACCAGGCGCTTGAAGTGTTAAACCCACAGTGTAGAAAGTGTGCACTCAAGAGGGCTTGTCTCAGTGTGGTCAACGGTGGTGGAAAGGTGACAACAACCTCGCACCTTGATGAGTCCCTCGTCCAAAGTAGACCCCCAGTCAGTAGTTAAAGGGATAATAAATTAAATATCTGACTACATAGTGCATCCATGAAGTGGAAGGTGAAGCAGACAATAATGTGAAGGTGACAGTTCTTATTTGTTATCATGGAGATGCGTATAGGATGATCTCATCTTGTTAGAAACAAAGGGAAACTGTCTTCAGCCGTCTGCATTTGGGTGAGCTCGCAGCGGCAGCCCCTGCCAGGGCTCCTCGCTCCACTCTTGCTGCTCTGAGCTCCACCCACCACACACAGCAGCTGAAATGAGCACTTCACGGCGATGAGTGAGGCTGTTCAGGTCGGCGGATTAAAGCCCTCAGTTGGCTCTCCATTGCTCGCAGACGCCCGTGGAGCTTATGTCCTCAGGTCTGGCATGACCTGGCTCTGGATCCACCTCTTTCCCGGCTCTTAAGTCTGGCTTCCAGCAACATGTCAACTGACTCTGCTCTAAGGCTGTTTCACCAACTCCTTGATCTGTCTAGAATAGTCTTCTCAGACACCCTCCTGTGGCTGGTCCTCCTCACTCAGTTCTCAGCCCTGAGGCTGCCTCGTTAGGGGGGTCCCTGCCTTCACCTCCTGCATCAGTTATCAGCGCCTCCTGTTTTATTTTCTTCATAGCTCTAGATTGTTTACTATTACTTGTTCACTTGTTTGTTGATTTCCCCAAGAGAACATAAGCGCCCTGAGGGCAGGGACCTGGTCAGTCTTGTTTATCATTCTGCCCCCAGCCCTTCATTGTTGGTGGTCAGGAAATAGTCAGCGAAGAAAAGTGAGAAAGGATATACCCAAAAATATTAATAGTGATGATTACCAAGAGAAAGATGGGGTAATTTTAATTGATTTTTTTCTTTTTACTCATTTGTATTTCCTAGTTTTTCTGCAAAGATCGTGGATTACATCCACACATAATTCTTTCTAACTGGCTTAATTAAATGCTTGGCCAGCCTTAAAGGAAGTGTTTTGAAGGCTTCCAGGCAGTTGTAGAGAACGTGTTATCTGCACGCTCCTTGCTGTGCAGTGGGTGCCAAATAAATGTCTGCTAGGCGTATTGAAACCTTTAAGGGAAGGTGTTTCCCCCAAAGTCCCATGGTCGGGTGCCCACCCGTGTCCCGTGTGGGAGGAGAGGCCACATGACCTGCATCAAGGTGCAGGTGGAGGGAGCTGTGAGCCCTGGGGTTCTGACCTGCATCCCCAGTCCCATGCTCTTTGGCAATCCCAGGGTTATTTTGCTCCAGGGAAAGTCCATCATCAAACAGCAGCGCATGGGGCACGGGACAGTGATTTTACGTGGGTTTGACGCCTCTCACTCCGCATGAAACTAAGAGACCAGTGAACTGTCAGCCTCTCTTCTTCCAGAAAAAGAATCTACCACATCCAGGTCACCTGACTTAACAGTACCTTGGCCAATACTGATTCTTTTTACTAATGCCTTGTATTTTAAATATTCAGTAGGTAGGGTAATCATGGTCTTAAAAATAGAATAGTTATTTCCTTGTTGTTGCGGGGCATCTTTTTTTGCGCCTTTTTTTTTTTTTCTTCTTCTTCATTTCGTTAAAGTCTGACCCGGTCAGTTGCGTGCCATTTGTTTCACTGTCGAACGTGCCTCTTTGGGTTGCAGTTACCTCGCTGGTCTAATATCTTAACAAAGGCAGATTTCCCTTAGCTGTGACACTGGGTAGGTAGGGTTCAAGCCAGTTGGTAAAGTCCTGATCCTGATGTTACATTCTGGAAATCTATGCAAATTAGGGGCAGGGGCGTCGGAGGAGGAATCCCAAGAATAGAACATTTGATGACCAGCTTAGAAACCGAAAGGAGCTATTACCTCAGGCATCAAAATCACGGATTGTTTTTTTTTTAACGTGTATTTCCGTTATTTTACATTCAGTAGAAGATCCTGTTGCCACCAGAGCCCTAAAATACTTTGTGCATTTCATGTCCACATAGCGTTAAGTCAGACGGACTGACTGACTGCTCGATCCACATTTAGGAACAGGCAGCTAGACAATGAGTGATGAAAACTTGTTGTATTATTTATACAAATGCCAAGCAGTATCAGAGGAAAAAAAAATCATTGTTCAGTGCCCTGCAAGAGCAGTCCCATGAGACATGTGCCAGGAGCGGGAGTGATTTGTGTTCAGGACCCCCTGATGGCACGGAGCAGCCATGCCAATCGCGTCTAGAGCGGTGCCTGGTGTACAGTTGGTTAGAGCTGCTTCCCACCTGAGCACAGGCACCCCTTGAAGGGAAACACTTACCACTGTGACACTCGATTGGTTACAGCAGCTACATGTAAAGCTGAGGGGGAATGATCTGGGTGACTTGGAGCGCTCCTCCTCCCACTGAGATCCCCTGCGCTCTCTAGAATTCCATGATTTTTCCAACCCCTCTGCCCCCCTCCTAGAAACGTGGTACACCCAGCAGAATCATCCCAGGGTGCTCTTGAGCTGATGATGAGCAAAGACGGCTCCGAGGAGAAGTTGACTTACTCCAGTGGGTGGAATCAGGCCCCCCAAAGAAGCGAGGCTGGAATGTATAAATGGGGCTCCATGGGAGACGCCAGGGGAGCGGGCTGGATCCCAGGAGCACCGAGCACCAGGAGGATGCCGCCTGCTTGGCTGAAAGACCCAGCAGCAGGGCCGGCTATTGTGAAGCCCCTCCGCCAGATGAACAGGGACCCTGCTCTGGTCACAATAGCCATTCATGCTGAGCAGCCTCATTAAATATTCAGCCGGCGCTTCCGGCAGCTCATTAGGGCCGCACTGAGCAGTGACGTGGCTGCGGGAAAGCCGAGGGCCGGCCAGCATCAGTAGGAGAGGCTGAGTGAGCTGCCGATGGCTCTTCTGTTCACTGCCTGTCCTGTGATGACCAGTGTGTGCTCCCTGCTTTGTCTGAAGTCCAGGTAAAAACGAAACAGGCCCCCACACAAGCCGCTGACCCTGGAGGGCGTCGGGTCCTCGTCTCCAGTGCTGTCTGGCCAGGGCCTCGGGTGTTGAGTGCTTGCCCCTGGAAGCCCTCTGATCCCCTGCAGGAGCCGTCTGGGGTTCCGGGGGCCTTGGCTGAGCACTGACAACGTGGTGCTGCTGAGTGTCCGGGCTGGTGGGGGACGCCTTTGAGGGGGTTCGCGGTGTGGTTTGAACTTGGTGCTGGGAGCTTAAAATAGCAAATTCTTCCTGTGGAGCAGGTCGAATTTAGGAACACTGTCGGGTAATCCTAGCAGTTTACTCAGTCCGTGCCAAGTTTTCCTGTGTCTGAGTGGCTCGTTAACTAAGCCTTTCCCCTTTCACTCTCAGGGCGGGCAGAGTGTAACGCAAGGTGGCTCATCTCCAGCTCCGTGGGGTTCTGCCCATGTGCTGCATATTGTCTTGATTGTGTCTTGTTACTTGCCCGTGGGTTTGCAGTCAGTGCTGCGTGAAATTTAAAGCTGGGACGGTCTGTGAAAGAACTGAAAGATGATGAGCTCAGACGGAGCGTATTTCTCTGCTCTCACCGTTGGCGTGTTTTTCTCTTTCCTGCACAGAAAATGTTTTCAGACAGCTCATTTCTACGTGGAAGATAGCAGTTCACCTCGGGTGGTCCCCAATGAAAGTATTCCTATCATTCCAATTCCGGGTAAGTCAGACCCCGCCCCTGTTTCCACTGGGCTAACTGTCTCTCCCTTTTGTCCTCAGTGCTATGTGACAGCCGTGACAAAATATTATTTTTACAGCCTTTTAAAGCTGGCCCGGTCTGAGAGAGCCTTAACTAAGGGTAACTGAATGAAATCTGTGCCCCTTTACACGTCTGCCACGTAATGAAATCATCTTTCAGAGGAACAAATAACTGAGTTCTTGTAGGATAGATTCACACGCCGGGAAGGGAAGGAACAGTAGAAAAAAGGGGAAAACTTGGTGTTTTTGCAATCCACTTGGACTGAATGTTGTTCTCATAGGCAACTTGTGCTTGCTTTTAAAAAAATCGCAATTTGCAATCCTTTTTTTTGTAAAGTTTTTTTCCCTAAGATTCAAGGTACTCTGAAAATACTTGCCTCGGTGTTGGAAGCTTTGGTTCTTAGGCTGTTTGTGTGGAAGTCTAGGGAGAGGGTCCTGGGCTTGGTATTTCCATTGTGTTTGGTACAAACAGTCCCGGCCAGGGGGAGGGACTGGTGGGGCACGCTGGTAACTGGCAAATGTCATAGACGTGAGAAGTTCAGTAGCGGGTTCACTGTGCTGGGAAGCATGAGGGGTTTGAAGATGGCTCCCACCATTTTTACTTGGCGTCCCCTTCCTTTTTCCCAGAATCGAACATTCTTCCTCTGGGTCGCATCATGTACTTGCAAATAAATACCCTGTCTTCAGGCATCTCATACACCCGTCCTCTGGATGGTACTCTGCTGTATCAGAGGCACTCTTACTAAGCACGGTCCCCCATTGCACTTGTCTGCCTCATTCTCCGGAATGGCTTTCTCCGTCATCTACGGCACCTTATTATTTTACTTGCTTCTTTGGGGTCTCCCCCCAAGTAGAGTGAGCGCTTCCTAAAGGCAAGTGGTTAGAGCAACACCGAGCACATAGCGGGCATTCTTTAAGTCTTGGACCAAATGAAAGAGTGAGTGCATGGAATGAATGTCAGCAAATCTTCCTTAAGGTTCTTAAAAGGCCACAGCTGTGAAGCCTAGCGGTGCAGTCATTCTCTGAGTACCAAGAAGGAGTGCTTCTGTTGTTTGCAAACCTTCTCTAGGTGCGGTTATGGTGGGGGGCTTAATCGGCCCTTTACGCCTGTGCATGTGACGTCGTAAGATACGGCTGGACTTAGCCCCGATCTCTCCATGCTGGTCCGCTGTCCCACAGAAACAAGAGGGGTAGCAGAAAAGTCTCTGGCCAAGTACCCTACCGGTACTCATTTTGTGGCAGCTGAACAGTTCCCACACTGATGGGCCAGGTTTGGGGGTACCTTTGTTCTTGTCTGCTAACCCCCGCCCTTGCTGCTCAGTAGAGGAAACTGCATTCTTGCCTTTGAGAGGAGGCAGATAGGCATCAGTCCTCCATCCACACGGGGTAAGTTTTGTTGACTTTCCCAGATGTGGGCAGCAGCGTATACATAATCACTCTCCTCTTGCATCCCCTGCAATTTCTGTTGACCTCTGGAAAATGCCTGCGAGCCACTTTCCTCTGAATTGATTCCACTGACAGACAGCTGTTGGGTAGCGGGGCAGTTGAAATCCATTTCAAAACATTAAATGGTGAGACGCTTCTGGGTCTGTCTTTTAGTTTTTAGGATTTTTTTTTTCTCACTGGATTAGGAATTGGAAAACCTAGGACCTCACCCTGCCTCCACCATGAAACCTTTGATCAGTGCCTTGGCCTCTCTGAGCCTTCGTTTCCAGAATCTGTAAGTGAGCAGGGTGTCTGCCCTACTTGTAAATGAGGCGGGGTTAACAATCCCATGAGACAGTACACGTAAAAGCACTTTGGAAACCATAAAATAAGCCAAAGTGTTAGCTGTGGACACTTTCCTTCCCAAATCATGATACTGTTCATCCCAGCAGCCAAGCAGAGCATTTGCACGGTTCCCAGGTTCAGACTGTCCCGAACACTAAGCCACATCCACTGGATGCAGCGGCCTCACGTGCTTTTTTAGCCTGGGCTTCAGGACTTTGAATTCCCCAGAATCCTCGGACAATGCCATCAACCGTGCCTGCCTTGCCACACCTCTGAGAAGGTGTCTTAGAGCAGAAACGCTTTTGCGTGTTTCCTGCCTCAGTTCCCAGCATCCTGTTTAATCACCAAGTTTAACACTCAGAACCCAAAGGCATTTCCTTAAGTGTGAGTTTCTCCTGATTCTTACCCACTGGCGGTATCATTACATGGAAGGAAGATGTCTTCACATTCTCCACTGATGGAGGAAGCTGTGGTGTCCCATTGTCCCTCACCTGGCGTAACAGATGCATCCTTGACGAGTTGTAACACATTAGTAAACGTGAGTTACTTTACACGCTGCTTTAACGCAGTGTGGCGTTAAAGGACTTACCCTGCTGAAACCCCACGTGAAACTATTTTTCCACGGTGTTCGCAGGTTTTTGTAGACAGCGCAGCCTTAACTGAGGGCGCGCCTAGACCCAAAACTTCCTTCACTTAACTGGGAAGAAGGACCCGCCATGGCCTGTCTTTAAAAATCTTACAACTTGATCACAGTTTCTTAGTCGTCTTAAACAGAACTACACAGTCCTGTTTACCAGTTCCATTGGTGAAATATTTTGTAATTCCACTTTAACAATCCATTATTGTATTTATCCTGAAGACTTCTTCCAGCTACTACCGTATAACTATGTCTTGCATAAGAAAAGTCAATTCATTTTTTTTTAAAATTCGTTGATTTTTTTTTTTTTTTTTTTTTTACTTTCCTATAGTGGAATCTGCCTTGGGATCATTTTGAGTGATTCACCTTAGGAATTACCTAATTGTTTTTATTTCTAAAGCTAGTAGGATATTCATAGAGCTCATATGGAATGCTTTCTCTGCCCGCTAGATCTCACTTGTAGTTTATCCGTGTTTGAAACCTAACAAACAAGACTGCTGGGCCCCAGATATATCAGCTTATTTTCTCACTTGAATCCCTCATTTGGTATCACTGATTATTTTTTTTAAAGCTATTTTCAGACAACAACTAGTAAACTGAACCATTATACGGATTTAAAATGGGGGCAACAGGGTGAGATTAAAAATTCAGGTACCAGACTGTCGTACAACAGGGCTCCTGGGTCATCACTGTAAAATGTGTATGACACTCTGATCCTAGAACTGATTTTACACTTAACCTTTTTCAGAAAACCTCATCACCACCACCTAATATTTATTGAGCATTTATTGATCAAAACTGCATGCTTTGTGTAAATTTTCACAACAGATGCAGTCAACATCCCCATTTCACAGATGAAGAAACTGCGGCTCAGAGAGACGTCATCTAATTTGCGTGAGGTTACAGGGATAAATGCTGGAGCTAGCACTGGAATTCTCTGTGTGACTTCAAAGCACAAGTGCTTAGAAATGGCTGTGCCCCCTCTTGGCGCACTGCTCTGACAGTTCTGATCTCTCAAGGCTTCAGCCTCCTCATTTGGATTTTGTTTCGTTAAATTAAGGCATTTTCAAATACGTGTGAATATTCTCTCTAATTTTTTCTGAGTTGTTGTTCTGAATCTGTTCCTTCTTCGATTAGCACTGATGGCTTGCTTTTCCATCAAATGCTCCTTCCTCCTCTTGGAGAGACTTTCATCATTCTTCTGTTGAAGCTTCCTCCGTATCAAAACATCCCTCCTCTTCTTACCTTTGTTTTCTAGTCATTTTAATTCTCTTCCTTCCTAAGAAAAAGACTCAACCTACCCATACCCCCAGTCCCTGTGCAGAAAAGTACGTCTATGTGATTTAAATGGCTTGTGGAGCAATTCACAAACATGTTGAATGTTGAATAAATTTAGATACTAAACCAGCAACTTTTGGGTGATTGTGCTGTGGTCTTAATTCACAAGTAAACAGCTCTGGTCTTGAAAGCATCAGTGGAATCAGTGAGTTACACCAACTTTTAAAAAATGTTATAAAATAGGCCAACGGTTAAGGAAGGCTTTGCAGACCTTTTAATACCCATCTCTTGGAGACAGCAGTTGATAGGAATTTTTGAGGAATTCTGAGTTAGCAGTTTTACTAATGCTGACTTGGAATGTAGGAATTTAGTCTTCAGTGTGTTCCGGGTTAGTTGGCCAAAACAGTCTTGTACGACTGAAGACCTCTTTTTCCTGGTCTCACCTACATTTACGTAAAACGTGAAAATGCCAAAGCCAGTATGGTGGCTGAGTGTAGTTAGCCGCATGAAAATGCTCATCACGCAAGAGTACCATCTAGCAGGAGAGAGGTGCTTTTGAGGTCACGTTCCAAGCTCTAGAGAAATGATATCAAGTCTTTTATTAGGTAAATTTTGAATTGTGGTACCTGCTCCACGTATGACGTACGATGTATGGAAAAAGTGAGGGGATTTTCTTCCAGATGAGTCAAATCGTGACCTCCGTTGGAGAATGAAAGGGTCTTTGACTCTTTCAATATTTTCCACTGATGAGTTTTCCTTCATTAAATGTTCCATAGTTACTGGTCTCCCATTCTTAAGTCTGATAAAGGATAATTGAATGCAGTAACATAGCTGTCAGTCCCCTTATAAGCTTTCCATCTTCTAAGATGTTGAAGTGGTCACAGATTTCTGTCCTTCAAGATTCGTATTATTCTTAACATCTACAAGTACTTTGAAAAATCTAGGAGTTCTTACTTGGGGATATTCTTCTGAATGCGCAAGCTTGCATTGTATTTCCGCTACAATTATTAGTGAAGCATTACATACAATATGTCATCTACGAATTATGTTCGCTGTATTATATTAGTTATTTTTTCAGACTTTCATTGTATATAGCTTTTTAAAATCAGAACTCAGCTCATGAAATTAGCCTGTGTGCAGAGCATGATGGAGGAGCTTTTCCAAGTGTGTATATTGTCGCACACAAATGTCCTTATAAATGCTTGTCTCTGGAAATCAGAAGATCTAACTTTCTAATAAGAGCATTACAAAACAGAATGTTGCCGCTAACCAGTAGC